AAGGACCTGGTACCGGTTAAAGAGCACCGGTGGAAACACCCCTAATCGAGGTAGTGTAGAGTAGAGAACGGCCAAGCTGGTGGAAACGGGGCTACAGAATTCTCCACACACTTATTCCAAGCAAAATATTAATAATAGAATTTGATAAACTAACACATACATACAACGCTAAAGAATCCCAGATGCCCACACACGGCTCTGAAAGGCAAGGCTTATGTAACTAGTTCCTGGTTCTTGGTTTATCACTAGTTTTAATTCAGTATGTGTTTGGCCTCTGTCACATCAGACTTTTCAAACAGAAAAGTGATAAACAGCTCTCAACAATTACTGACCCACAGGTAACTTTATAATATGCTAAATACAGCATGTTGGGCTAACTATACTTTTATATCTTCATCATAATAATATTAATTCATTTTATTTCATGGCGCCTTTCAAGACACCCAAGGACGCTTATTAAATTATTAAAAAAACATCACACACAGTATTGAAAGTGCAGAATATAAAACATTTTAAAATTAGAAGGAAAAAAAAACAGTTGAAAAAAGCAGGTTTCGGGATGTCTAACTGTCGCAGGTCAAGCTGTAGAGTTACTTTACATCTGTTGCCAGATTCTGCATTATCTAGGACTGGGACAGACCTGCGCCTCTCCTGATTGGCTTGTGGTTGCTCGGCCTACCAACATTGCTACCAACACTTTAATATGTTTTTTTTTATTATTATTTATTTAGGACAGTACATATTTATCAGTGTGACTGCAAACAGCGTCAACAGAAATATGCTGGAATTAGCACATTAGCTAAATTGCATCCATTGTCCTAAGGCAGGTAAGAAACACACAAACACAGACAGAGAAAGCCCGAGGAAGAGCAGATTATCTATGGGAGCATGACTGGTTTGATTTCAACCAATGTTTGAGAACTCCTTTAAATGTTTGGTAGGTCCCACAGTTTAGAATGTGGGCTATAATTTCCTCCAATGATTGTTCAAGCAAGCTCTTATCAGCTTCTGCCGCACAAAAGCGAACATCCTGATATACAGTCTCTGGTAACAACAACTGAGCAACCAAGAGACAATCTAATTAAATCCTGGTTTTTATTGTTGATAAAGTTATTTGTGTTTTCCAGCGGTGCTGCTTTCTGATTGGTTGGCGTAGGATCCACAATATAATTTACACTTAAACCTCTCCCAGCACTTGAACACAGCTAAATCTGACTCTGACTCCTTTCCTACCTCTAAATGATCCTGATCTAAATGTCTGACTCCTTTCCTACCTCCTTTCCTACATCCTTTCCTACCTCTGTCTCGTATCTCTTTTCTCTTACTCGGCTTACCCGGCACTGATGCTATTTTCCGCCTGTGAACTACACGAGAGGAAAGTGTTCAAGGGATAAATATAAGCCTCGATCTCAGAGAAGCAATTTCACCATTTTGAGGTTCGATACATGGACACAATGTTTCCTTTATCAGTGTTCCATGAAGAGGAACGAGCAGATACACAGAGAAGGACCGATCACAGACGAGAAAAAAGATGGAAAATAAATAGAAAAGTGGCATTAGAAATCTCATTGGGTGATTTTTTTTAGAGTTGTGGAGGGTCTAAGGACAGCGATTATGATCCAGGACACTCCACATTCAAAGGCGTTTATGGACATTGGTCATCTGCCGATTATGGACCGATGGCTCTGTGTGTTTCTTGTGTTTGATTCTCTCTCTGGTCTCTCTCTGCTCTATTTCTGCTCTATCTCTGTTCTTACTATTTCTCTCTGGTCTAACTCGTCAGTGTCTCTCTGATCCCTATCTGGTCTATCTCTGATCTCTCTCTGGTCTATCTCTGATCTCTCTCTGGTCTATCTCTGTCTCCCTCTGTTCTCACTATCTGGTTTCTCTCTGGTCTCTCTCTGGTCAAACTCTCCAGTCTCTCTCTGACCCCTCTCTGGTCTCTCTCTCTGTTCTCTCTGGGCTATCTCTGGTCTATCCATCTAGTCTCTCTCTCTGGTCTCTCTCTCTCTGCCTTCTCTCTGTTCTCACTATCTGATCTCTCTCCAGTCTCTCACCGGTCTCTCTCTGATCTCTCTGTGATCCCTCACCGGTCTCTCTTTGGTCTCTTTGTAAAGTCCATCAAGATAGACACTGTTGTAATTTAGGGCTATACAAAAAAAACCAAACAATTGAGGTTCTGAAAAAAAAAACATGATGAGAGAGAACTTTAATAAAAGTTCTACCAAAATGTGCCCACGGCAACAGCATCCGTCAATCACACTCAGCTGCAGCAATCAGGCACTGCCCGCATCAAGCTTTGGGCAGCACGGTGGCCGAGTAGTTAGCACTCTCGCTTCTCAGCAAGAAGGTTACGGGTTTATATCCCAGTCGGAACAGGGCCTTTCTGAGTGGAGTTTGCATGTTCTCCCCGTGTCTGCGAAGGTTTCCTCCGGGTAATTATAGCCCCCACCACCACGGTCAGATTACTGCCAACTAATCTACAATTCTTTGAATAATGTGTTTTCTTCTGATTCTATCCAATCATAGCATTAGCAGTTCCCAGAATGCATCTCACTACACGGAATTTTCTTGTACAAATAGCAATAACCTTGCTATGAGTGGTAATCTGAAGTACCACATGTTTTTCTAATAATTCCACTCATTCTGCAAATTTCAGCTTCTCAATTAGTATTTATTCTTAAATAGGCAAAACATGGTTCTGTTTAGTGATTTAATCTATGACAACTGTGGCTGATTTCAACATTTTAATACTCATTATTGATATAATGTACTTGCTGCTCTGTATGAGTCCTGTCATAAAATGTCACTGCCCAGACCCTTAGTAGAATATAAATTACTCAAACATGCACGAATGAACTCAATGTTGTTGATTGTTTGCCCCGATGTGATCCTTTGTGTGTCCCTGTGTGTATTTATTCCCTGTGCTTTTCCCCACTTGTCGTCCGTCCATTGTCAATACCACATTTTTGCCTGGTTTGTATTCAGTTTTGTATTTTTGGCGTTACCTGGCGTTCTGAGTGGAGTTTGCATGTTCTCCCCGTGTCTGTGTAGGTTTCTTCCTGGTGCTCCGGTTTCCCCTACCACTAAAAACATGTACAACAGATCTGGCATGAGCCTCTTACACTGGCGACCCCGCTCCCATCTCTGTGTGGAGTGAGAGACAAATGCCCAAAAATAACAATTGTAAACCGCTTTGTGACTCTGGTCTGTGAAAGGCGGTAAATAAATAAAGATTACTTACTTGCTTACCTTGGATTTGTTCAATTAAAATACACTTTATTTTCTGTCCAGCACTTTGGGTTTCGTTTTCATTTCACCACATGACAGTTTCCCTGATACACGCTTAGTTTATGGCCTCCAAGACTTTAAAGCCCGGGTTCCTAACTTTCAAACGACAAACACAAATATTTAAATTTCACACGCATGCGTTTTTCAACCTCTGTCACATCTTTAGATCAGCTTTTTCAGGTACAAAAATGAAAGAGAGAGGTCCCCCCCCCCCCCCCCCCTCACTCAGCCAATCAGCTCTCAGCCCCAGTCGGACAGTGCCTCGCAGGGCTCTTCTCTACCAGTTTGTAAAAGAAAACATATTTTCTCATTAGAGAAAACTCTACTTCACTCAGACTCATTCACAACCGTGTACTTTTACAATCCTTTTTTTTTTATCTGTGGGGACATAAAAAAGTTTTATTTTCTCAAACAAAAAAATCACACTGATACCGAGTGCTTTGTTTTGATTTGAAACATTTTATTGACCAGAACTTTAAACTGGAGCCTGAAAGGTCCGTGTTTTGTCCAAAAAGCACCCATTTTGTGGCAAAGCAAAGCATATTTTTGTGTTGCTTTGGCCTCTTTGTTGTCATCCATGTAACATATTGGAAAAATGCTTAAGTGCAGTCCTTGGGCGTAATGTGTTTTGGTTGGGGCTAATGGAGCGCTTCAGAGAGAGATTGTTGTTTCAATTTGGTTTAAAGCGCCGGTGATGCTGCGCCACCATCACCGCCGCAGCCTCACTGATAATAGCATTACACGGGAACAATGCTTTCTACAGATAGAGAGCGCCAGGAGGAGCCCAGCGCACTGTTGAATGGAAACATGTGTCATTGTACAGTAGAACATGGAGGTTTTAGCACTTTTTCTCTGGTTTCTTCTCTGTTTAACCTCCTGTTTACCCTTCGGTGGGCTTGTGTTGTAGAACCATGGATCTGTTCAAATATCTCGGTTTTTGGTATTGTATGTATTCCTCGTTCTACAGCCTGAGTCCTGAGTCTATACATTTTTGAAAGTATAGAGTTTTGCCATACTTAATATTCACGCCTCTCCCCTCTATATGTGCAACAAACTGGAACAAGCTGGAAGAAGTTGGAAGAAGCTGGAACAAGCCGCCCCCTGATATGTGAGTGCTTTCTGATGTTGGCCTTTTTGAATCAAGGCTCAAAACGTATTTATTCAGATTGGCTTTTGAGTGTTGAAAAGGAGTGACGGTCAATAGCAGCGATCTCATTCTGGCTTGGTAGGCGTCAGCGAGTCCTCTGAGACTGACCTTGTTCTTTTACTTCTCTGATGCCAGGAGAGTACAGTAGGCTAAGTGTTCATTGGATTTTAATCGAGGATCTATGATTGCATGTATCACACACCTGCAGAATCCACTTGTTTGTGGACGAACACCACGTGATGCATGTGCCGCTCTCTCGTAAAACTTATGGGTAATGTAGACTCTGCTCTCGGTGAGACGAAGTAGGAAGCAATGAATGGGAGCGTACTGGTCAGAGACTGTACGTACTGGTCCTGGAATGTAAGTACCGGCACGCCAAAAGCACAATTTTGGCGCACAGATAGGTGGCAGTACGCTCAAGAGCTAGTTTTAGAAGACTTAAAGCCTGGGACCCACAGAACAGTGTTAACCAGGGAGAGTCTGAATCTACAGACACATGGGTTATTAATCATGTTTGATGTTCACTTAAATATTGTAAGATTCAAGCTGCAGCACAGAGCGGCTAACAGGGCAGAAGAGAGAAAGGAGGAAGAGGGGGAGGGGGAGAGGAGGGGGAGAGGAGGGAGAGAGGAGGAGAGGGGGGGAGGGGATAGAGGAGGGGAGAAGGGAGGGGGAGGGGAGAGGAGGGGAGAGGGAGGGGAGAGGGGAGGGAGAGGGGGGGAGAAAGGAGGGAGAGAGGAGGGAGAGAGGAGGGAGAGGGGAGGGGGAGAGGAGGGAAAGAGGAGGGCAGAAGAGGGGGAAGGGGAGGGAGAGAGGGAGGGGGGAGAGAGGAGGGAGAGAGGAGGGAGAGAGGAGGGAAAGCGGAGGTCAGAAGAGGGGGAAAAGGAGGGATAGAGGAGGCCAGAAGAGGGGTAAGAGGAGAAGAAAGGAAGGGGAGAGCAGAGGGAGAGGACGGAGAGAGGAGGGGGAGAGGAGGGAGAGAGGAGGGCAGATGAGGGGGGGAGCAGAGGAGGAGAGACAGGACGGGAACAGAATCTTGCATAGTTTTTCTAATTTGGTTTTATGCAAAAGGCAAATCAAATATTCAATGTCTCCCATGGAATGAGAAAATAAAGCGACAGTTCTTATTAAGAAACTAAATGTCTTTGTCCCGTCGTCAAATCTTGTTTTAACACAGTCAGATTTTACTCAAACTAAGAGAAAAACAACTCGATTCAACCAATTATCACCTCGTATTTTATAATCGTTTGCAGTGCAGCAGCTGATCCACTTTCTCCTCCATCTCTGTCTCTCTCTGCCCCAACGATAAACGATAAAAATATATTTATGAGTTCAAGTACTTCTCCACAGTCCCACAAAATCACATGTGGTTTGTTCAGCATTATCCTGAAAGTATTTATTCAGTAAGTAAGTATTCATAAGTACATTTTTATTACTTGGAACAGACTGTGTCAAAATGAGATTATCACGTGCACTGAAATAAAATAATTTCCACACCTTTTATTATGCTAAAGTTAGAGATGTTATGTTATTTTAGAGTTATTGTTTATTTATTTTCACTTGTTGTGGGAAAAATTATCTCTTAATCTTTGAATATTGCCTTATTTTGATGAAATGACATGTTTTATTGCACATTTTCCACACTGTTTCCATGGCGCTGGTAGAATAAATCTTTCGCGACTCTCTGTTCTGTTTCTATTTGAAGTGTTTTTAGCTCTGCATGGAGAGCACAGCCTCAAAATGCAGCCTCAAACTTATTTTTTATCAAATTTGACCAAAAAATATCTTGCATTTCTCCCAAAAACAGCATTCTGACATGACTTTGTGTCGCTGTGACCTGGGGCTGTCGGTGGTAACTGCTCTGAGCGCGTTTGGCATTTGTTCTTAAACTTCATATTTATGGAAATGAACCGTGTGGCATTTTGTGGCCTTTGTGTTCCGTCCGTTCGCTGCGAAAAGCTTGTTTTTTGAATTATAGATTAGTTCAAGCGCCTTTGTTCTTGGCTTATAATCCTGGTGCAGACAATGTAATTCATTTGCACAACTTGACATTTAAATCATTAAAATACTGTCACTGCTTTAGATAGATAGATGATAGATAGATGCATATTTTCAACTCATCCATGTCTGTTGTACAGTCTGACAGCCGAAGGAACAAAAGATCTCTTCAGAGGTTCCGTTCGGCAGCGCAGTGATAGGAGCCTGTTGCTACGGTTACTCCTCTGAGCGGCCATAGTGTCATGCAGAGGGTGTGTGGAGTTACCCAGGATGCCCTGCATTAGAGCCCTCATCCTTCTCTCCAGCACAGCTCCCACAGAGTCCACACTTCTCCCCATCACAGAGACACATTTCCTGATCAGCCTGTCGAGCCGGTTACTGTCTCTGAGGTCAGACTGCCCCCAACACGCAACCCAAAAGAACACAACTAGCTACCACAGACCGGTAAAACATGTGCAACATCTGACTGCTCACAACGAAGGACCTCTCAGGAAGAAAAGTCTGCTCTGACATTTCTTAAAGACAGCATTGGCCTGAGCTGACCAGTCCAGTCTGTGGTCAAGGTGGACTCCCAGGTATTTGTAGGACTGTACCACTTCGATGTCCTGTCCATTTAGTGTGACCTGTCCAGACACACACACAGTTGATGGGAAGGGCTCCTGTGAAAGTCATTGATCATCGCCTTCGTATTGGACGCATTGAGACTCCGGCCATCTCTCTCACTCCAGTCTGAGAAGGCAGCCAGCAGTGTCCAGTAGCAGCAGAAACACATCCATCCAAACAAACAAAACTAATAAATAGATCATTCAAAAAGTAGGTAACAATATATCAAAATGCAACAGTACTTTATGTCACAGCAGCAGAGGTGGAACAGCCGCTGGGGTTGGACCCTTTTGTCTGCTCTGGTCCAGAGTGAAATGTCGAATGCTTTGTTAGCATTTTTCAACAAATTAGCATTCCTCCAGTGGATTTCTGCTTGATCCGCTTGGTTCCGTCCGTGAATCCTCTCTGCTGTGATCTGGATCAGCATTAAAACCATAAACCCCGTTCAGCAGTAATATTTACAAGTAGAGAAAAGCATGAAAAATAGCAATTGTTAAGCACAAAACTGTTTCAGAGATACTCAGGACTTGCTGCATTCAAAAGTATCTGAAAGTAATCATGTGTTTTATATTGTGTTGATTCTAATGCAGACTCCTTTTAATCAGTGCTGTTTAAACTTTATTTTAGATTACAGGTTCCATGATGCCGCCCGTGGTGTCGCCATAGCAACACACGGCAACGAGCGCAAACAATTAAATCACATTACCGTTTGCAATATAAAGCTACATTTACAGGTCTATGCAGATTGATTCAAGTGGAAAAACCTGCTGATTGGTTACCATGAGTTGAATGTCGGCAAACTTAGCTTTTTCTCCTCTGCGTGTGTATCTGTGTATCTTCATTTTAGTCATGACAACGGTTGCTAAGGGGATTTTGCTGTTTCTTGGCCACTGTGAAGAAGTCCCGTTCCTCAGACATGTTTTTTGAGAGCATAAAGGACAAAATATAGGCGCATATATGTTAATTGTCTATCATTATGACTGTTTGTGTCACTGTAGGCTCATACAAATACATGGTTTAACGCTTTCTTCAATCCTGATGTTTATATTGTGATGTGGCTTTGTGAATCCATATGAGTCCTAGAAACTGGCCAATCAGGAGTGTTCTGTCATTCAGGGTATAGCTAGTAGCCTGTAGCGTGAGTGGGGACGGGGAGAGACCGGCGCAGCTTCTGATTGGCTCTTGGTAACTCAGTCGTTGCTACGATCAAAGTTTGTATAGATTTGTGTCCACATTCTCAGTCCAATAGTCTGTGAATTTGTGAAATGCTTTGTTCTCTTCTCCCTTGTCTCTGGCTCACTGTTTATTGAAAAACCATAGCACACACACGCATACACACATGCACACAAACATTTACAGACACATTCAGGCACAGAAATACACATACACACATAGACAGACAGACACGCACACACACAAACACATACCTATACACACACACACACATACAGACACAGAAATACTTACACATACCTAAACACGTATACACACACACACACACACATACACATACATACATAGAAATACTTACACATACCTAAGCACGTATGCACACATACTTACACGTATACACACAAACAGACAGACACACACACACATACTTACACATATACACACACAAACAGACAGACACACACACACATACTTACACATATACACACACAAACAGACAGACACACACACACACATACTTACACATATATACACACAAACAGACACACACACACACACACATACTTACATATATACACACACAAACAGACAGACACACACACACATACTGTACTTACACATACCTACACACACACACAAACAGACACACACACACACATATACAGACACTGCAGTAAGGGACATACACAGCACACTAACACACACAAACACATACCTACACACACACACACACACACACACACACACACATACAGACACAGAAATACTTACACATACCTATACACGTATACACACACACACACACACACATATTTAGTCCTCCTGGGCAAAGATGCTGCTCTGTGTTTGCATCCTCTCCTTCTCTTTATGAGAAACTTCACCTGGATTTGATTTGAGAAAAACCTCAGAAACATTCTCACAATGTTCTTTATATTCCCCCAGCTCATTTCAAAAACTAATAAGTCTGTGTTGTGTCTGCAAGGTCAGTAAATATTACATAGATACAAAACACATTAAACATTTAGTTTGTCTCCTTCGTCTTGTGAAAGTGAACAAACCTTTGCGCTGAGAGCTGATTGGCCGAGTGAGGTGGTCCTTGATTTCTTGGTAAAGATTAGCCAAAGAGGAGACAGAGACCGAAAGCTCGTGACCCCCTTCCAAGCAGCTACCAAAGTCATTTCATATCTATTTTCACTATCAATGTTTTCCACTATTGCAGATACATACACTGCAAAAAGAGATGAAAAATAAGTTAAACATTCTCAAATTTGGCTGAATGCATTTTGACTGTCTTAAACGATCTTGTTTTAGATCGATACAAGAAATGTCTCTCTTGGAATGAAAAAATAAAGCAACAGTTCTTGAAATAAGACAAACCGGCTCTTTAAGTTACTCAGATTACGATAAAAACCACTCGATTCTAGCATTTATTACCTCATATTGGATATTTTTTTGCAATGTACATGTAGTTTGTCTTATTTATTGAATTAACAAAAAATTTAATATGACAATAAAGGGGGGTATTTCTCTAATTTCTGTTCTGTAAAAGTAGCTCTCTGGTGGAAAAAGGTTGAAGGCCGCTGCACTACAGGCACAGGCAAGCTCGAGATAGAACCAAACTGTTTTCAGAGCGAGGAAGTGGTCAGAACACACTCTTGTTATGTTGAGGTTCAAAAGTTAGGTACCCCAGCTTTAATGTGCACATTGTAAGCTGTCGGGATCGCCAAGGGGTGAGTGCATTGAGCCACTACTGAGGCCATTCTCATTTTGTGTTTTTATTTTTCTTAGTGTGCTGTGTGTGTCCCTTACTGCAGAGCTTGGACCAGGCCGCCATCTGCTGGACAGACTGGGAAATGCATGTTCAGGGTGATTGCTTATGTCATTACGTTAGTGAGTTGAGGCTTCTAATCTTTGTCTCACACACTAAATACCACTAACCTTGGAAGTACATCGGAAATATTTAACCTTAACCTCCTTTGGCTCATTTTTAACCTGAATTATCTAGATACCTTAAAACACCTTGCTCCTGTTACTAGTTGTGTTTTGAGGTTTTCAGCTGTTCCATGTTAATAAAGAGACAATGTTTGAAATTTGCAATATCTCCAGGTAGCTAGCCAATTTTGTACGATTGTGTAATATCTGTAAGTACATGAAGTTGTTTTCATGCTGCTGTATGTATGAACTCTATCTGATTATTATGAATGTGTGTGAATGTAGAATGGTTTACTGTATTGCTGCGTCTCAAGCATTGACAGTAAATATTAATGGACAATGTCACGTCTATCTTCGTTGCCTTCTGTGGGGGTTTTTCAAAATGGTCGCGGGGCAGGAAAATGTGAAAAAATGCATTTGCACACGTGTTAGCCGCACTAGCCCCATTCATTAACAAGTGCATTCTGAAGTCCACAGCGGCTAATTACCCCCCTCAGCATTGACAACATCTGGAACGTAGCGTTGGGCTTTTGAACCATCCTTTAAAGCCATTTTGAGAGGAAAGAAGACGCCATACAAAAGCATTGGATAATTCTCTTTCCGGGTACACCCCCACCGGCCCGGAGTGAGATCCCAAAATATCTGCTCACGTGCTCATGGACCTTTTGGAGCCGGGACCCACCCCCAACTGCTCTCAAGAGGTTTTCTTTAAACAAATCAAATCGAAAATAAAAACACACTATGCAAAATGAGTGGTGCAGGTTTCATGTGTGTGTTGTGGTTATTTTCTTCTGTAGCTTAATGACTTGTGCAGGTTGTGTGATTGGCCTTGGGCAATGGAAATCATAGCCCTGGATACAGTCTTGTTCGTAATAAGCATTGTCCAGTTAATAGATAATACAAACATATATAACCTTGTACGACATGAATAAATCCATATTCTTCAGCACAGTCAACGCATGTTTATAAATATATTGTTTTTCCATCAGCCTCGGGTCATTCTGCTTCCCATTGTCTCTATATCTCTCATAAACAATAGTACATATGTACAGTTTATGCCTTTGGATTAAAGATTAAACACAAATATATTCTCCATTGTTATTCTCTAGACTCACTGATGTGTCTGTAAATATCGCAAATACTTTTAACCCTCGATTGAAAAAACCTTGGCTTTGGAAAGAGAGTGACCAAAGAAAGGGAGAGACCAGAGAGAGACCTGAGAGAGACCAGAGAGAGACCAGAGCGAGACCAGAGCGAGACCAGAGCGAGACCAGAGAGAGACCAGAGAGAGAACAGAGAGAGAACAGAGGGAGACCAGAGCGAGAACAGAGCGAGACCAGAGCGAGACCAGAGAGAGACCAGAGAGAGAACAGAGAGAGAACAGAGGGAGACCAGAGCGAGAACAGAGCGAGACCAGAGCGAGAACAGAGAGAGACCTGAGAGAGACCTGAGAGAGACCTGAGAGAGACCAGAGAGAGACCAGAGCGAGACCAGAGCGAGACCAGAGCGAGACCAGAGAGAGACCAGAGAGAGAACAGAGAGAGAACAGAGGGAGACCAGAGCGAGAACAGAGCGAGACCAGAGCGAGAACAGAGAGAGACCAGAGAGAGACCAGAGAGAGAACAGAGAGAGACCAGAGAGTGACCAGAGAGAAACCAGAGAAAAACCAGAAGAGAGAGATCAGAGAAAGAGACCAAGAGAGAGACCAGAGAAAGCGACCTAAGAGAGACTAGAGAAAGAGACCAAAGAGAGACCAGAAAGAGAGCAGGGAGATACCAGAAAGATTCAAGAAAAAGACCAGAGAGTGACCAGAGACAGAAAGTGGTGAGAGACAAGAGAGAGAGAGAGACCAGAGAGAGACCAGAGAAAGACCAGAGAAAGACCAGAGAAAGACCAGACAAAGAGACAAAAGAGAGAGACCAGAGAGATTGGATGAGTGAGAAAGATGGTCCTCTCTTTTCACTTGAATAATTGAATCTAAAATAGTTACAGAGGCCAAAAATACAGATGGATTTTGCACAAACTGATTACTTTGGACCCATGGACTCACTTCTCACAGCTCCATTCTGGATCAGTCTCTGTACGAGCGACCACATAAATATCGCTTACACCTTTTACATCGGTGTTTGTCTCGATGCCGCATCACAAAACACTTTCATTTAGCTGTAAACACATCCAGTCATCTGAGTCAAACGCTTGTGTATAAATGGAAAGCAATCTAAAGCAATTATCCTTTTATCATAGTTGCATCAAAGCCCCTCTGTTCCGCCGCGCCATCAAACATACGGCTAATAAGTATATAAATAAGAAACAAAGCTTTTCACATTTGCCGCTGTTGCATTGCCTCCTCACTTTCTGACATATTTTCTTCTTTCTGCAAAAGGCTGTAATGAGAGGCTTTTACGCTCTCTTTTGGATGTGAGGATGCCCCCGTTGGTCATAAACGCACGTAATTGAATGTCAGGGTCACCGCGGCGCTAAAATAGTCTGAGATGGCGTCAATTTGCAGCCCCCATTCAAGAGAGAACACGGGGGAAAGGCATAAGTATTGTAATTTTATTCCAGTGCGGTTTCTCAACACTGGGCAGATTGTTGCAAGGGTTTTTTTCTTCTCTATTGTAGAGCTGAACTTTTTCAATTCGATGAGAAAGGCTGGGTGGATACAGTAACTTCTAACACGGCAAGGTAATAACTGTAATCCTCGAGGTAGGGGGCTGGAGATAATTATTGTCGGCGATTATAATGTGAAAGTTAATGAGATACTGGCTCTGTTTCACTTTTGCCGCTTTGCTTATTTGCCTTCTCTGTGCTGCGCTCGGCCCCGCCTACTTTTCACTCCAAGCCCCACCCCCTCAGGCCAGATTCTTTATTTACAAACGTCGCAAAACCACCGGGTGTCAGCTACTGCCTTGTGGTTATTTCGATTCAATTCCATTCATTTGCGTATAGCCCTAAATCACAAGATCAGAGAATAAAACAGTTTGAAGATAATGCCATAGTAGCAAACACATAGAAGCCATTGGTCCATACGTGGCAAATGACCGATGTCCAGAAATGTTTAGAAATGTCCTTAAACGTCCTGGATCACCACTGTCCTTAGACCTTCCTACATCAGCAAGGAACAACTCCAGAAACCCCAACGGAAAAATTTTGGTTTTAGTTTAATTCTGTTTGCGCTAGTGCCCTCTAGTGGATCATGGGAGAAATGCATGGCTTTTTGTAGATGAATCTATGCAAAAAAAAACTGCCGTCGTTCTAAACTCACAGTGATTATGGGGAAATGTTTGAGCCATTCAAAAGTAGATCTCCATCTGCCTGTTTCTGCTCACTCACTGATGTTGAGAGTTTTGATTTGTTTGTGAACGTCGTATTGGACCTAGACTTGGACTTGACTCGGAAATGCTCGTCCCGAGTCTGGGACTTTTGGATTTGAGACACACAGTTTTAAAGATTGTAATTTGATAGAAGAAAACATTTAGTTTGTACATCGAGAATATTGGTGAATGGCTTTGAGTCTAAGTTTAAGTTTATTTAATTCATGCTCGCCACTAAAAGTTTAAAAATATCACAAACAGATGACATCTTAACATTTAACATATAAAACTGTACAATCTGACAGCAGTTGGCAGTGAAGATTGTTTGATATTGTGCGAAGATGAAAGTCTGAAAAGTTCTCCTTGTTCCTCAAATTGATTGGTTGTCAAATGTATTTATTTACAGGATGATCTTTAACTGTCCAATCTTGGCTTTGTCAACACAATCCTCAGGGAGTATATGTAATCCACATTGAGTTTGTGAATATTTGCTCTTTTAGTATTTTGTCCACAAGTTTGCTGCGTATACTTCTGTGGCGTACGTGTCTTTTCCACCTCTCCTCTACAAAACCTACTGATTGCTTTGACGATTCACTTTGATCCACCCATGCTCAGGTTTTTTACTAAAGTTCATGTGTTTTGTTTGTTGCAGAGGAGCAGCGGCAGACGACAGACACTCCCTCCACTGGGGCCATAATCGGAGGAATCCTGGGGACCCTGGCCGTCATCGCGATCACTGTGGGGGTCGTCCACTACGTCCGCAAACACCACCACGACGAGTGAGTCCAGGTTCACTGCTGTCTGAGCGACCAGAACCTCCACCTCTCAAACTGTCCACACTGAGACCCTGCTCAGAACGGGACACATGAAGGTTTACAGGACAGGAAGAGATTAGGATTAAGATCAAGATAAAGAGATTCTTTTTTGGTCTCAAAGAAAAATTCAATGTTGCATCATCAGTTAGAGACAGTAGAATGGGGAGCACACAACACAAGATGAATGAATAATAGCTCAAATAACTAAAATTAAATATCTAATTCTAGCACAGGAAGAAGCAGTATAAAATCTCTCACTGATTTTGTACTCACATCTCTGAGACAAATTGTAAAGCCCTTTGTGACTCTGATCCACTGTATAAAATATAGACTTGCTTATATAATATAGATTTATTACTTACTTACGAAAAAAGTTGATTTTGGGTGATTTCATTGTGGGTTTACAGTGACACCATCACAAACTAAAGCATGGTCTCTTATCATCTTTTCTTCCTAGACCAAAATAAAGGTATTTGGTTCTTCTAAACCAGACAATAGAAAGACGTCCTACAAGATACAAGAATGTATTTGTCATTTGCAGTAAAAGCACATTTGGAAAAAACTGTGCATGACTGGTCACACGGGAGCTTTTGTCGCGACGCCATTTTTATAACAACACTGAACCAAATACTTTTAGAGTTAAGAGTAATTTGACATAGTTCTGTGGTTTGGGATAATTCAACATTTAGGACAGAGGTGACCAAACCTTTTAGTACGAAGGCCACATTTATTGAACCAAGCTTGTCCAGATTATGGAACTGTTCTGAGCTTTAATATTAGCTATGACAGAGCTGAAGTTGGCTGAATGACAAATGAAGGAAGTAGTATTAGAAAGTTATGGGAGAAGGTAGGAGGAGGTTAGGGTTCAATTCCACCTCCAGACCTTTCTGTGTGGAGTTTGCATGTTCTCCCCGTGTCCATGTAGGTTTCCTCCGGGACATGTGCGATAGGTCTGGCATGCGCCTCCTGTTTACAGGCGAGCCCCGCTCCCATCTCTGTGTGAAGTGAGAGACAAATTTAGATTCAGATTCATTGTAGTTGCCATTTGCAGTAAATCCACATTGGAACACATTTACAAGGAGGTAGTAGGATGAGGTAGCAGTAGTAGAAAGTAGCAGTATTAAGTAGAAGGTAGTAGAATGAGGTTGTATTAGTAGCAGAAGGACATGTGTCTATCTATCTGTTTTGACCCATGATCATGTCTCTATCTGTCCCCTGCAGGTTTTCTCTGTCCTCTTCTATCTTCCTGTCTTTGTCTCACTAAAGCATCACCACTTTCTCCATCTGACCTTTATCTCCAATATCATCAGCGTGAATCTCACTTTCATTACTTTTATACAACGTCTTCTCGCCCCCGACGTCTATTCTCTGAATCCTGCTCCCGCTGTTTCAAAGCCAAATCCAATGTCTCCACTCACTGCTAACGTCAATATCTCTGCTTCCTTCCCTCTTGTCCAATCACAGCGGGCCGCCCAAACACAAGCCGCCTCCCCCTGTGAAGACAGGAAGCTCCACGGAGATGGTGAGTGGTGGGCGGGGCATATTTGAATGGATCTTTATTGTCCTCTTGACCACGTCCGCACACACAGACAGAGATGGAGCGACTGTTGTAATGAGGCTAATGGTTATTGATAGGACGAACAAATATGTTGCAAGATAATTAGACGCTTGATTTCAGTGGTTTCTCTCTCCCTCGAAGTTTCAAACACTTCATCATCTTATTGGAAAACTATTCTGGGGAGGTTTAAATATGTGTCTAGTTTAAGATGGAGGTGTTTAACACTAGGACCTTCTCTAAACATAACATGCACCGCCCCCTGGTGGTCAGTTGACCGCTATGTAATTTGTGCTGATGGAGCCTTTTGCCAAACTGACTAAACCAGAACCTGATGTTTCTAGGAAATCGTGATAGTAATGACACTTTGTAAAACGACACATTGTGCATCTTTATGCTCATACTGATTCAACAAAATTACAATGACTTTTCAAACAGATTTTTTTTTTCAACTTTGCAATAACCTAAAAGGTCGGTCACTTTAAGTTAGATTTGACTCAGTACCTATATGTAAATTTATATAATATGAATAATAGCTCAGAAAAGCACGGAATGTGGGAGGAGGCAGCAATCCGAGTCGGTGTTGTCTCCAATGTCTCTTTCCACCTCAAAATCTGACATCTCACCTCCGTCAGACTCTTCCTCTTTAATGTTTTGAAGCATTGTCAGGGCTTCTTCTACCGTGAATTTGGTAGCTCTTTTCATTTCTTTTTCACCTGTACAAACGAGGTGCAGCATGACCTTTTTGGTGGAGCTGAAGTTGGATGAATGACTCTGTGAAAGTGCCTCAAGAGGGCAACATGAGATGAAACAGTGGGCCGCATTTGGCCCATGGGCATTGGTTTGGACATGCCTGTAATAACTGGTGATAGATAGATTTGTTTCCACTGTGAGAGTGATATGTCACAGCAATCTGTTCAGAATCCAAAGAACCACACCAGCCCACCGTGAAAAGATATATGCCCGGAATAGTACAGTATATGACGACACAGTATCCTAGTACGTCTGGATCCTAGTACATCCTGGGCCCAGTCTGGAGCCAGGCCTGGGGTTGGGGTTTGTAGGCGTGCATCTGTGCAGAGAGAAAAGGTCTGAAAACATGGACAAAAGGCCTTTTCAATAATAGATCTTACCACAATAAAGTGTGTATTCTATTTGTCTGAATTCTCATGCGCATTACATTAGCACCACTGCTTTTTCCAAACGCTTTGACCACTTTCAAATCCATTTCCAACATAAAGCATGTTGACTCAAGCAGCAATATCTGTTCTTTTATATCTCCCAATATTAATTCATGAAACATATTATCCTAATAGAAGTTTGCAGATTCATAATGAGAGTAGCCGGAGCCTGGAGGCAGCGGCGTTGTTTAAAAGTGAAGAACGTTTTCTGCATGTCTTGGATTTGTAGCTTGTTGTTCATAAAAAAAGTCTGCAAAGTTTTATGGCTAGAGGAAGCAATCTTGTACTAAATATCAAATTTCATCATAACCTGGGGAAATGTCTTGTTGAGGGGAAGTCTCGCCGTCGATTGTATTTGGGAGGAAAGGTAAGGACTTAGAGTTGGATATTGCAAAAGCTGCAGCAGTGATTGTTGGGGAAATTACACACAGACTATCTCTGAGTGTAACATTTCAACAGCAGATTTAGTTCAGTGTTTTCAAAGGGTCTCTGTAATCTCACCGTGTTAGAAGAAAAGATGCAGAGATTGGTCTGAAGAGGGCCACGTAATAGTATTTATCCATGTATTTATTTGTTTGTTTGGTTTGTCGGTTAGTTATTATCATTAACTGGAGCGGGACTTTAAATGGTTAAAACTGCTGTTAGTTCACCTTTTCTGCATTGCTTGAGCCAGGGGTCTCCAACCTGTTGCTTGGAGGCTACCAGTAGCTCACCAGCCCCTTCCAGGAAACTCCCCAAAGGATTCAGAGTTAGATAGATAATAATAATAACAATTGTAAAGCACAAAACAACAACTGTTTCAGAGCTACAGTACTTAGGACCTGCTGTCGTTTTCCAGCCGTTCAACTTCATAACCCTTGATCCTGAATGTGAATGTAAACGTGTAATTAATTATTTGAGAATAATAACGAGACCTTTTTTTAGTTCTGCGGCCACATGGTACTTTACCAGTGAGATCGACGCGGTGAGTTCTGACAACCCGGATCATAGACTTTCTGATTGGTGAAACAGTGGAGGGCGAGACATCAAAATGAAGGAACTAATTTTAAAATCCAATTATCTTTGAACTAGTGCTATCAGTTAAAGAAGTATTGGAAAAGATCATGGTTCATAAATGCCTTTTGACAGATTTTGACATGAAAATCTTACATACTGCTTCTTTAATAGATGTAGGGTTATACAGTCTTATGTTATTTTTTTTACGTCGGTGATCTGCATGTTTTGCCGTAGCTATTGTACAGACGTTTATTACGACTGCAAAAGTGTTGTTGTATAAAACCAACTATCCGATTGAGAAAGGTTGGAGACCCCTGATTTCATCGTTCAAAGGGATGACGAGACGTAGAGAGACTAAAAGATGGAGAAACATGGCGAGGTGCTTGGGCAACACTCAGAGCAGCAGCCTCCTGTCGCAGCATTAGCATTCAGATCAATGAAATTTTACTGCCATTTACCCGGGGACGCCTCACATTGTGACACACTCGTTTGCAAGTCAATAAGGCCTTAAGAAGTATATTTGTGAGCAAGAAAGGCCACCCTGAATAAATACACTTATATGAGCCTTGATCACCTTCAGAATGGTCTGGTTACTGGTATTTTCCATCAAACCCGCGTCATCAGTTTGTTTTGCTCTGGAATGTAGCTTAGATGTAGGTCTCTCTCTCCTCTCTTGTCTCTCCTCTCTTGTTTCTTTCTTGTCTCTCTCTCCTCTCTTGTCTCTCCTCTCTTGTTTCTTTCTTGTCTCTCTCTTCTCTCTTGTCTCTCTCTTCTCTCTCCTCTCTTGTCTCTCCTCTCTTGTCTCTATCTTTCCTCTCTTGTCTCTCTCTCCTCTCTTGTTTCTCTCTTGTCTCTCTCTCCTCTCTTGTCTCTCTCGCCTCTCTTGTCTCTCTCTTCTCTCTTGTCTCTCCTCTCTTGTTTCTTTCTTGTCTCTCTCTCCTCTCTTGTTTCTCTCTTGTCTCTCCTTTTCTTCTCTCTTCTCTCTTGTCTCTCTCTCCTCTCTTGTTTCTCTCTCTCCTTTCTTGTCTCTCTCTCCTCTCTTTTTTCTCTCTCCTCTCTTGTTTCTCTCTTGTTTCTATCTTTCCTCTCTTGTCTCTCTCATCTCTCTTGTCTCTCTCTCCTCTCTTGTTTCTCTCTTGTCTCTCTCATCTCTCTTGTCTCTCTCTCCTCTCTTTTTTCTCTCTCCTCTCTTGTTTCTCTCGTGTATCTCCTTTTCTTCTCTCTTCTCTCTTGTCTCTCTCTCCTCTCTTGTTTCTCTCTTGTCTCTCTCTTCTTTCTTGTCTCTCTCTCTCTTGTATCTCTCTCCTCTCTTGTTTCTCTCTTGTCTCTCTCTCCTCTCTCTTGTTTCTCTCTTGTCTCTCTCTTCTTTCTTGTCTCTCTCTTCTCTCTTGTCTCTCTCTCCTCTCTTCTCTCTTCCCTCTTGTCTCTCTCTCCTCTCTTGTCCCTTTCTCTTCTCTCTCTCTTATCTCTCTCTTGTCTCTCTCTCCTCTCTTGTCTCTCACTCCTCTCTTCCCTCTTGTCTCTCTCTCCTCTCTTGTCCCTTTCTCTCCTCTCTTGTCTCTCTCTCCTCTCTTCTCTCTTGTCTCTCTCGCCTCTCTTGTCTCTCTCTTCTCTCTTGTCTCTCCTCTCTTGTTTCTTTCTTGTCTCTCTCTCCTCTCTTGTTTCTCTCTTGTCTCTCCTTTTCTTCTCTCTTCTCTCTTGTCTCTCTCTCCTCTCTTGTTTCTCTCTCTCCTTTCTTGTCTCTCTCTCCTCTCTTGTTTCTCTCTCTCCTTTCTTGTCTCTCTCTCCTCTCTTTTTTCTCTCTCCTCTCTTGTTTCTCTCTTGTTTCTATCTTTCCTCTCTTGTCTCTCTCATCTCTCTTGTCTCTCTCTCCTCTCTTGTTTCTCTCTTGTCTCTCTCATCTCTCTTGTCTCTCTCTCCTCTCTTTTTTCTCTCTCCTCTCTTGTTTCTCTCTTGTCTCTCCTTTTCTTCTCTCTTCTCTCTTGTCTCTCTCTCCTCTCTTGTTTCTCTCTTGTCTCTCTCTTCTCTCTTGTCTCTCTCTCTCTTGTATCTCTCTCCTCTCTTGTTTCTCTCTTGTCTCTCTCTCCTCTCTTGTTTCTCTCTTGTCTCTCTCTTCTTTCTTGTCTCTCTCTTCTCTCTTGTCTCTCTCTCCTCTCTTCTCTTTCCCTCTTGTCTCTCTCTCCTCTCTTGTCCCTTTCTCTTCTCTCTCTCTTATCTCTCTCTTTGTCTCTCTCTCCTCTCTTGTCTCTCACTCCTCTCTTCCCTCTTGTCTCTCTCTCCTCTCTTGTCCCTTTCTCTCCTCTCTTGTCTCTCTCTCTCTCTTCTCTCTTGTCTCTCTCGCCTCTCTTGTCTCTCTCTTCTCTCTTGTCTCTCCTCTCTTGTTTCTTTCTTGTCTCTCTCTCCTCTCTTGTTTCTCTCTTGTCTCTCCTTTTCTTCTCTCTTCTCTCTTGTCTCTCTCTCCTCTCTTGTTTCTCTCTCTCCTTTCTTGTCTCTCTCTCCTCTCTTGTTTCTCTCTCTCCTTTCTTGTCTCTCTCTCCTCTCTTTTTTCTCTCTCCTCTCTTGTTTCTCTCTTGTTTCTATCTTTCCTCTCTTGTCTCTCTCATCTCTCTTGTCTCTCTCTCCTCTCTTGTTTCTCTCTTGTCTCTCTCATCTCTCTTGTCTCTCTCTCCTCTCTTTTTTCTCTCTCCTCTCTTGTCTCTCCTTTTCTTCTCTCTTCTCTCTTGTCTCTCTCTCCTCTCTTGTTTCTCTCTTGTCTCTCTCTTCTCTCTTGTCTCTCTCTCTCTCTTGTATCTCTCTCCTCTCTTGTTTCTCTCTTGTCTCTCTCTCCTCTCTTCTCTCTTGTCTCTCTCATCTCTCTTGTCTCTCTCTCCTCTCTTTTTTCTCTCTCCTCTCTTGTCTTTCCTTTCTTCTCTCTTGTCTCTCTCTCCTCTCTTGTTTCTCTCTTGTCTCTCTCTCTCTTGTATCTCTCTCCTCTCTTGTCTCTCTCTCCTCTCTTGTTTCTCTCTTGTCTCTCTCTTCTTTCTTGTCTCTCTCTTCTCTCTTGTCTCTCTCTCCTCTCTTCTCTCTTCCCTCTTGTCTCTCTCTCCTCTCTTGTCCCTTTCTCTTCTCTCTCTCTTATCTCTCTCTTGTCTCTCTCTCCTCTCTTGTCTCTCACTCCTCTCTTCTCTCTTCCCTCTTGTCTCTCTCTCCTCTCTTGTCCCTTTCTCTCCTCTCTTGTCTCTCTCTCCTCTCTTGTCTCTCTCTCTCCTCTCTTGTCCCTTTCTCTCCTCTCTTGTCTCTCTCTCCTCTCTTCTCTCTTGTCTCTCTCTCTCCTCTCTTGTCCCTTTCTCTTCTCTCTTGTCTCTCTCTCTCTTGTCTCTCTCCCCTCTCTTGTCTCTCTCTCTCCTCTGTATCTCTCTCCTCTCTTGTCTTTCTCTCCTATAGTGTCTCTCTCCTCTCTCTTGTCTCTCTCTCCTCTCTTGTCTCTCTCTCTCCTCTGTATCTCTCTCCACTCTTGTCTTGGAGAGAGGGAAGTCTGTAAAATGTTAGATAAAAACATGAATATTGTTTAGTCATGTGTGTCTTGATGGTTCTTTGGATGTAGCATATGTTGGTACATCAACCTGGTCCGCCATTTGCCCTCAATAAACTCTGGTCAAGTATATTTTCCCTACATGTACATCTGGGTCTGATCCTATTGGCTGCAGTTTCCTCGGTTGAATCTCCTCCAACCAATAAGAGAGCGGGGGAGGCGGGTGTTGTTGGGAGGTGTCGGTGACGTCAAGAGTTTGCACCAAATTTGCTGGTTGTAGTTTGCCGGAGAATGTGATAGTAAAATATTCCGTTCTGGTTCAGCTCCAACTATCAAGAAAGAGGCAAATATCATTGCCACAAAGATTTAGTGGCTCTTCTCCACACAGACTCTGTTAGAGGCAGAGGAGATAAATGCTAATGCTAGGCTAAATGATAAATGCCTCACTCACTCAGGTGCATTACATACGTCAGAGTAAACGCAAATCCAGACCTTAGTGCGAAATGAAATGATTAAGATGGAGCGGTAAGGCCACATAAATATTCTCATAATCTCATTATATTTAATCATGTGTTTTTATGGTTCTTTAGATGTTGGTATATCAGCCAGTCTTCAACAGCTTTCAGCAAAACAAATCGAGGACAGCTTTTACCCGTCTTGAAATGAGTGGATAATTATTGTTGATGTGTGTTTTGCAGCTGAATAAACCGTCGGAGCCTCCCTCAGTCACAGAGACGTGTCCTCTCGGTCCTGGAGAAGTTTACTACGAGACTTCAGGCAAAGAGCCCGTCACGGTGATTATCCACAAACACAACATTCTGCCTTTGCCTCCCGTCGCTCTCAGCTTTTTGCCTTTTGCTTTTGAACAAATTGTAATCACGTATAGTTTTTAATTAAACCTCAGATTCCATTCAAACCTTTGAGCATTTGCAAATATTTTCTTGAACTTAAAGTAATGTCTTGACGTGTGTTGCTTTTGCTTGGTCTCCGCGAATTTGGGTTTTAGCGACAACACCTGACAACTACTTTATCAAAAGAATGGAGTTAATATTATTGGTTAAACTCTTGTCTCATCCGTCTCACTCTTGTCTCTCTCGTCTCATTCTAGTCTCATCCGTCTCACTCTTGTCTCTCTCTCTCTCGTCTCATTCTAGTCTCATCCGTCTCACTCTTGTCTCTCTCTCTCGTCTCATTCTAGTCTCATCCGTCTCACTCTTGTCTCTCTCTCTCGTCTCATTCTAGTCTCATCCGTCTCACTCTTGTCTCTCTCTCTCGTCTCATTCTAGTCTCATCCGTCTCACTCTTGTCTCTCTCTCTCGTCTCATTCTAGTCTCATCCGTCTCACTCTTGTCTCTCTCTCGTCTCATTCTAGTCTCATCCGTCTCACTCTTGTCTCACTCTTGTCTCTCTCTCTCGTCTCATTCTAGTCTCATCCGTCTCACTCTTGTCTCTCTCTCTCTCGTCTCATTCTAGTCTCATCCGTCTCACTCTTGTCTCTCTCTCTCATCTCATTCTAGTCTCATCCATCTCACTCTTGTCTCACTCTCTCATCTCATTCTAGTCTCATCCGTCACACTCTTGTCTCTCTCCCTCGCCTCATTCTAGTCTCATCCATCTCACTCTTGTCTCTCTCTTTCATCTCATTCTAGTCTCGTCCGTCTCACTCTTGTCTCTCTCTCGTCTCATTCTAGTCTCATCCGTCTCACTCTTGTCTCTCTCTCTCGTCTCATTCTAGTCTCATCCGTCACACTCTTGTCTCTCTCTCTCGCCTCATTCTAGTCTCATCCATCTCACTCTTGTCTCTCTCTCTCATCTCATTCTAGTCTCGTCCGTCTCACTCTTGTCTCACTCTCTCGTCTCATTCTAGTCTCATCCGTCTCACTCTTGTCTCTCTCTCTCGTCTCACTCTAGTCTCATCCGTCTCACTCTTGTCTCTCTCTCTCGTCTCATTCTAGTCTCATCCGTCTCACTCTTGTCTCTCTCTCTCGTCTCATTCTAGTCTCATCCGTCTCACTCTTGTCTCACTCTCTCATCTCATTCTAGTCTCATCCGTCACACTCTTGTCTCTCTCCCTCGCCTCATTCTAGTCTCATCCGTCTCACTCTTGTCTCTCTCTCTCATCTCATTCTAGTCTCGTCCGTCTCACTCTTGTCTCGCTCTCTCGTCTCATTCTAGTCTCATCCATCTCACTCTTGTCTCACTCCTCATCTCATTCTAGTCTCATCCGTCTCACTCTTGTCTCTCTCTCTCGTCTCATTCTAGTCGCATCCGTCTCCCTCTTGTCTCTCTCTCTCGTCTCATTCTAGTCTCATCCGTCTCACTCTTGTCTCTCTCTCTCGTCTCATTCTAGTCTCATCCGTCTCACTCTTGTCTCTCTCTCTCGTCTCATTCTAGTCTCATCCGTCTCACTCTTGTCTCTCTCTCTCGTCTCATTCTAGTCTCGCCCGTCTCACTCTTGTCTCTCTCTCTCGTCTCATTCTAGTTTCATCCGTCTCACTCTTGTCTCTCTCTCTCGTCTCATTCTAGTCTCGCCCGTCTCACTCTTGTTTCTCTCTCTCGTCTCATTCTAGTCTCATCCGTCTCACTCTTGTCTCTCTCTCTCGTCTCATTCTAGTCTCATCTGTCTCACTCTTGTCTCTCTCTCTTATCTCATTCTAGTCTCATCCGTCTCACTCTTGTCTCTCTCTCTCATCTCATTCTAGTCTCATCCGTCTCACTCTTGTCTCTCTCTCGTCTCATTCTAGTCTCATCCGTCTCACTCTTCCGTCTCACTCTTCCGTCTCACTCTTCCGTCTCACTCTTGTCTCTCTCTCTCGTCTCATTCTAGTCTCATCCATCTCACTCTTGTCTCTCTCTCTCATCTCATTCTAGTCTCATCCGTCTCACTCTTGTCTCTCTCTCTCGTCTCATTCTAGTCTCATCCGTCTCACTCTTGTTTCACTCTGTCGTCTCATTCTAGTCTCATCCGTCACACTCTTGTCTCTCTCTCTCGCCTCATTCTAGTCTCATCCGTCACACTCTTGTCTCTCTCTCTCGCCTCATTATAGTCTCATCCATCTCACTCTTGTCTCTCTCTCTCATCTCATTCTAGTCTCGTCCGTCTCACTCTTGTCTCACTCTCTCGTCTCATTCTAGTCTCGTCCTTCTCACTCTTGTCTCTCTCTCTCGTCTCATTCTAGTCTCATCCATCTCACTCTTGTCTCTCTCTCATCTCATTCTAGTCTCATCCATCACACTCTTTTGTCTCTCTCTCTCTCGCCTCATTCTAGTCTCATCCATCTCACTCTTGTCTCTCTCTCTCTCTCATCTCATTCTAGTGACTCTCTTCTCACTCTCAACTATTTCTCGTCTCTCACTCTCTTCTCACTCTCGACTATTTCTCGTCTCTCACTCTCTTCTCACTCTCGACTATTTCTCGTCTCTCACTCTCTTCTCACTCTTGACTATTTCTCGTCTCTCACTCTCTTCTCACTCTCGACTATTTCTCGTCTCTCACTCTTCTCACTCTCGACTATTTCTCGTCTCTCACTCTTGGCTCTCTTTTTTTGCTCTCTTGTCTCTCACTCTTGTCTCACTCATGGCTCTCTCTTTTCTCTCTCTTGTCTCTTTCTCTCGTGTCTCTCTCGCCTCACTCTCGTCTCACTCTCGTCTCCCTCTCGTCCGTCACAGAATCTGGACGACGACGGCAGCGGTGACGCCCTGAACGGCGGCGCCAAGTACGACAACATGAACGACGATCTCCACGACTACGACCCGACCAATCACGGCGCAGGAACCGTCCACATCGCTCGCGGGGAGAGCTTTGTGTCTCCGGCCATGTACGTGTGAGAGAAGAGAAGAAAAACTACTACTACGACTACTACTACTGCAAGTCCTAGTACTACTTCAGCAAAGGGAGAGGGTCCAAAGCTCAAAGCTGCATGAAACGCAAACAGGACAGTATCTTAACAAGAGAATATCATTACGATTCACTTTTTTGGGGAAATTTGGGTCATTTTTGTATTATTTTTGTATTGGTGCCGGTGATATAAGCGTTAATCATGTCTTTATTTTAAATGTATTTTTAAAATGATTTATACAAAGTGTCAGAGGTCAATCCCAGCCATCAATATATCTATATATGTAGATTTCAGAACAGTTCATAACTTTATACGACAAGAATGCGTTGTTGTTGCCAGGGAAACACATCACACTCTGCAACATTATATTTGTTGTTTTGTTTTTTGTATTTACTTTAATAATAGCAGTGTTACGTTGACTCAAATACTAAAATATTAAAATGTGGCCATAATCAGACTCATATTCTACAGGTATAAAGAACCTTTCTAATTCCTAGTTTTATTGGACCCAGTCTCATATTTTTCAATGTTTAAAATTAGCCGTGAACGTGCCCACTACCGTCGCCATTCCCAAAGTTAGAATTCATTTTTCCCATATCCATCCATCCATTTTCTTCCCCTTAATCCATTTCTGGGTCTGGGGGTGGCAGTCAGAGTCCACCCAGCACACAGAGCACCAGCCCCTCACTGATCCTCCTGCGAGTGCTGAGTCCACAGGAGCCTTGATCTTCCAGCGGGGGCTTCGGGCAAAGTGGGCATTTTTCCCGTATGGATTCAGGAAAAAGAATTGAATAACAAACTGGAAGCTCAGGGCTTATCCTCAGTGTGGCAAAAACAGACAGAAAGACTTATTGTTTCATCTGTTTAAAACACATTCACCAAATGTCTTGAATACATATAACTTGAATTACTCACCGTTCTGAAGTGAAATGGGAAATGATTCAGAGGTCCTAGGTGTGTTTTATTGTTGTTACTATAAGTTTTCACAGCATTCAGACAAAATACAGCAGTCCCCCTCGGCCTCTGCCACATCGCCAACAGATAAAACTTGAGTTGAGCGTTTATCTATTTTGAGCTCATGTGACTACACTGCAAAAAGTGATAGAAAAAAAATAATTCAAAAAATACTCAAGATTGGCAAATGTATCTTATTTTCAAAAAATATATATATCTTGTTTTTAAAAAAAGGAAAATACAAGAAATGTCTCGTTGGAATGAGAAAATAAATCAAAAGTCAATCAACAGTTCTTGAATTACTAATTTGCAAATGCCAGAATGTGGTCAAAATAAAATGAAAAATACTTGATTTAAGCAATTATTACCTCGTTTATTTCATATTTTTTTGCTGTGTACATAGAATTTTCAAAACTATAATTCATTATCAATATCTTAATATAATATTGCAAATGATTCAAACTCAAAAAAGGAGTGGGAGGAAAAAAACTGCTTTGACTTTCAGATAACTATTACCTAAAGTGGGAAAGTACCGACTTCTGGATACTTCTGCGGTGCCTGTCTCAGTTTTAATATAAGCGCTTAAAAGAGATTCTTAAAACATAGCTGGAAATCCTATAAATAAATTGAAAAAAAATACAAATTCTCCGTACTGTTTTAAAACGTAACTTAAAACCATGTATGTTTTGTGGTTTTCTAAAATGTACTGTATCTCTAAACCATTAGTCAAGACCCAGGGGCCAGATCCTGTTCATGAGACCATTTCCAGTGGCCCCTGTGATGAGATTAAATTATTGATGGTATAAGGCAACAATGGCATTTTATCCATTACTAGTTTCCTTAAGAAAACAACCATAAAATGTAATTCCATTAGAAATGTTAAGCCAACATGTAATTAGAAGTTAGAATTATTATGTTATGCTTTTTACCACTCTTCAATTACATTTCTCCAATTTTTAAAAAATCTCTCTGGTCTTAAAAAACCTTTGATAAAATAAAACCCACCTATTCTTTTGGCCCCTGACCAGCCCTTTCATTTTTTATTTGGCCCTCAACCAAAATAAGCTTGACACCCCTGCTCTAAACCAAATCCACACCAAAATATATATGCTTTTTCCCATTGGACCAAACACAGCTCAATATCAATCATTCCAATGTGGTTTTACTGCCAAAAAAAAAACTAAATCTGAATCTGACGTGAAAAGCACAGAGAGAGAGAGAGAGAGAGAAGCCACCTGGGTGTCTCTCCTGTTTCTCCACCCCGGTCACGTCTGGAGCCCGGCTTGTCTGTCAGAGCCACTCCTGTTTGATAAATATTGTTTTTGTCGCTCCCAATCTCTGGTTATAGAGGAATAATGTTTACAACGCCACATCCAAGTCTGCGTCTGGAGTCGAGGGGTGAGTCCAGGGTCAGACCTGGTGCCATGGGTCTGACAATAGCATACACAGGGCTGAGGATGGATGGATAGGTAGATAGATGGATAGATAGATAGATAGATAGATAGATAGATTCTTTATTGATCCCTATAGAAGAAATGAAGGTGTCCAGTAGCAGCAAAAACACATCCATCCACACAAACAAAACCAATACATTGATAATTATAAAAAGCTAGCAATAGTAGTAGTAATAATAAGCAACAACATTTCAGGCCACAGCAGCAAAAACACTGATACTTGGGTTTTGGATATAGCCGTGATTCTACCGACTGCCTCTGAGGTCGCACAGGTTGAGATTTGGGAAAAAATCACAAAACCAAACATCATTTTTAAGTGGTTTCAAGCTGGACAATGGTCAGTCACAGTGATACATGTACAAAGTTGTCGTCTTCATGTTTAAGGCAAGCCCCGGCGATCCAAGATATGTCCTCTTTAAGTACAAAATCAATTCAATCGCACGTATTTCTGGATTGCCCTAAATCCCAACAGCAGTCGTATCAGGGGAATTTGCCAAAAACAGATCAGAGAATCAAACAGTTCAAACCATAGGGAGCGGGCAGGACCACTGTTTATAAATGTCCTTAAATCTCCCTGATCATCACAACTTAATACATTTTCTTCCACCGCAGAAACAAAAACACATGTAAGAAAACGTCAAAAATCTTCTCTCTTTTATACCACATTATCTGTACCATTATAATTAGAGTTCTGTGTGTCCATTGGCATCGTCGCTGCTTCCCCTATGATTAAAAACAAAGCGGAAAAATGCAGAATGTGTCCGAGCTGCCAACGCCGCGTCCTTCGTTAGCGCTAATAAGCTAACGCGTGTGCAGGTTTGATGACTAATAAAGAGCAATTTGGTGGAACAGTGCCGACCGCCATCGACTTAATGGACACCGGCTGCTTTTATTGCAAGAAGTAATGGTTTAAAAAGTATGTCTTTCTTCTGGGATTAATTGAATGTTTGAGTGAAGCTAGACGTGACGAGGCGATGGAAGCGATGGCGGCGATGGAGGCGGTCCGAGCGGCGGCCGTTGAAAGCCTTCGGTCCTTGGAGGGTGGGTTTCGAGGGTATTTCAAAAAGGTGAGGCTCTATGTTGTGCCCCCGAGGGAACACAACAAGGTCAGAAAAGACTGCAATGAGTTTTGGCGTTGGTGAAGCTGAGGCTGAAGCTGGCAGTGTTAGTGAAACGTCTTTAAAGTCAGAATGGATTTTGAGCAAGCTTTCATTTCACTTTAAAACCACACTGTTAAAATACGGCCAAATACTGACCAAAGAGAAGTTGGTACACTGCAAAAAGTTATACATTTTTTTAGCACATTCTGACTGCTTTAAAACAAGTTGTTTACCAATGGGACGAAGCAAAATGATGTTGTTTTAAAAGGATCCAAGAAATGTGGAATGAGAATCAAGCAGTAGTTCTTGAAGAAAGACTAAATGTAAATTTTGTTTTAGACAGTCAGAATGTGCTCAGATTAAGATAAATTTCCCTTGATTTAAGCTAGTATTACCATATGATATAATGTTTTGCAGTGTATTTATTTGAATTATACGCTAAAGTTTAGTTTGGGTTCTGGATCTATAGCCGTCCGATCTGAGTCTCCCGGAGTTGTTCCTGACTGATGCTGCAGGGTCTAAGGCAGGGGTATCCAACCTGTAGCTCGCCACCCCCTTCCAGGTAGCTCGCCAAAGGATTTAGAAATGAACAAATCATACAATATACTTATTTGAGATTGTATTAATCATTATCATTATTAATCATTGTAAATGCACTTACTTTGTGCACAAGTAACAAATATGCAATGATTAACCAATATCAAGCTCGTTCTCACCAATATATCACCAACATTTCCTGCTTAAAGCAGTTGCTCTCTATCTTTATTGTCCTGGGAAAGTAGGTCTCTGGGTGAAAAAGGTTGGAGACACCTGGTCTGAGGACAGTGGTAATGATCCAAGACACTCCTTCATAGACATTGGTCTCTGTCCCTTCTGGACCATTGTTTGTATGTGTTTTTATCATTGCATTTCCCGTGATTCTCTGATCTGTTATTGGTGAATTCAAAACTACTGTTGTGATTTAGAGCGATGCAAAAATACATTGAATTGAATTCAGTTTTTTTCACTGTCAACAACAAACATATAAATAACAACATTACAAAGATTAGGGTCAGGGTTGTCAGACTCTGCAGACCTGGTGCTCACATTGTTAATGCACCAATCAGAATCAGTCTTCATCCTAATAGAACATTTGTTATTGTTTACATACTGAGAGCTGATTGGCCGAGGGAGGTTGGTCCTCTCTTGTTTCAGTCTAGGCAGAGGCCAAACATATGCGTGCGAAAATTAGTGATGGAAGCAAAGAAATTATTAATATGAAAATAAATCTTAAAGGCACACCGTGTAACTCTTGGCCACTAGGGGCGCTAGACCTGCAACTTTCACGTTTAGCGCCCCTAGTGGCCACAAGCAACTCAGCACTGTCGCAAAAGTCAACAAACAGTCAGCCGGTGTCTTTTGAGTGTGTATTCAGACAGCATGCACTGGTGTGTGTGTTCAAACTGTAGAGACATGCCTACAGATATTGAGAGACTCTGCTG